ATTGCCAAGCAGCATGGACAGTGGCTTGCCAAGACTTGCATGTCTCCATGCCCAGGGCCTCTCACTTGGCAGCCCCTTTCTCACTGATGGACAGCCTGGATCACCCATCTACTGATGCTGCCCTCTGTGCCTGTCTCATGTATTCCTGTTCCTCACTACTTCATTGCTACAGACTATGTAGTCCCTCCTCTTTATTGCGCTTTCTTTCTGGCTCTGTTTTGATCAGAAACTCTCTCTCTGCTGCCTTCTGGTCTCATCCAGCTGCTAGCTGGTGCAGGAGGTCTTTCTGCCTGTTCAGCTACCAGCCAATTTTTGCCCCTCCAGTCCCTATTTGGGGCTAAGCCAAGCTCCAAAAGGGAAGAGGGAGGGTGATTCTGCTTGGAAAGATTAGTCAAAGCACCTCTTACTCTTCTATCAGGGCCAAATCTGGAGACTTCTTGTCAGGACATTTCCTTTCTCCGATACTTCTGGGTTCTACCAGGTCAGAGTGCCTGTGAGAACAGCTCTTCCCTGCTGGGGTTTATTGTCTGCACCTCTGGCTGGAACCAGGAAGCAAGCAGTCTGCAAAAGCTACATAAAAAACAAACCCATCATCACTCCATCCAAGCTTTGTAAAGGGATGTTTGGGGACTTCACTTTGGACATGGGGCAAAAATCTGGAGGCCCACTTTGAGTTCTGTCTGAAAGCTGGGGAGTGAGTTTGAGGCAAAGATTTAATAACGCATTTGTACTGCAAGCCGCTGCACTCCACCCATGCTACCCTCTGAGCTCCATCTCTGGAGTACACCAGCTGCCTTTCAATTCGAGGGCAACCAGTTCCACTCATGTTGGCCTCCAGCTCCAGTTTGCCCACAGATCAATAACACCTCTTTTGCCTCAACTTTTCCAGCCACACTTTTGAGGCCAACAGGTGCTAGAATGCAGCGAGCCCACAGTATTGGCATAAAGTATGCGCATCTCAGGATGCCACTATACCTCCTCAGCCTGGATTGATTCCTTCAGTCCTGTTTATGGAAGTTTTAATCCTAGGTAGCTCCATCAGCTAATCTTGTCACCCCCAAGCATCCAAGACTCATGAGACAGGCTCCCCTTAGATAATAAAAGTGGCTAAAAAGCACGAGATTTAAAAAAAAATGCATGTATTTTATTTCCCTTCATGTTCTTAGGTGTTTAGCCTGCACTATCTTCATAGTTTGAGACTCTTCCCCATGTCCAAAACAGCTAGTAAGTCACTTTTTATTTTTAAATGAAAGTTTTGTATTTCCCGTGACTCCAGGAACTTGGTCTTTAAACTAACGATTCTCAGCCAGGGTGCTGCAAGATCCTTTTAGGGGTGCTGCAAGGTGGCATGCACCTGTTTAGTGTGGAAACACTTACACATGATTCACAAGCTAAACCCAGAGATTTCAAATAGGAATCCATATTGTCAAAATCACGCTGACCTGTTGTGGTCGTGCTAAGTTCTTTGCAAAAGAAGAATTGCTCTGTTATTTTTCTGTAGTCAAGAAATGAGTGAAGGCTAAGAGCTGGCATTTTCTGAGGGATGTCTTGAGTCTAATAAGGGGTACTTTGAGTTTCAAAAGGTGTAGCACCACTGCTTTAAGCAATACAACACATATTGTAAGAATTGCCAACCTCGTAAGATAAATACCCCATGAACCGGGGGCTTCAGAAGAAGGTAAGCAAAGCCCACAAGGCACTTGGTCTCAACTTCTATTTCAGAAAACCCCAACCAAACCAGCTTAACTGCATTTACTTAAAAAACAATAGAGTAAAGCCTGTTCCCTGCAGACTCTCCCCAACCTCTGATCTCCCCTACCACCATCACCCTTCTTTTTGGTTTGCAATCACAGGGGAAGAACAAAGAAAAATGGGAACCTCTCCTAACTGGGCCAAACTCCCTCCCTCAAAACTACTTTGGCACTTTGGGTGTCCTTTGGGGACTTCCTGTGAGAATTCTTCTCTTCCAGATTCCCCAATAAAGCCACGTGAGTGAGGACCGACTTATAAAAAAAAATCTTTATTTCATGTACCAGGATATTTTTTTTTTTTTGTAATTTTCTCTTTTTAAAATTTTTTCTTTTTAACAGTCTGAAAAAAACCACAAAATAAAGAAAATGGAGGTTGGTTTCTTGAACTGGTTTGAGCTGGACATAAGCATTAGCCTTGGAAAAGACTTCCTTGCCAGTCCTAGTCCTCCCTCTTCTCTCTCTCTCTCCCTCTCCCTCTCTGACACACTCACTCACACTCAGGCGCTCACTCATCATCTCATTTCATTCTGCAAGTGCTCTAGAGCTTGAAAGCAGCTTTGGATTTAACCAAAAGATCATACCTCTGTCTATTTCAGAGGTTGGGAAACCAGTTTTAACTCATCTCTAGGAGTAGGAGGGGGGTAATTTTTTAAACTTATTCTTGTACATTTGATGAGGTTTGGGGACCAGGTGGGGATGGCAGGCTGGGAGAGGACTGGGATTCAGCAAGAATCCCAGACACCCAGTACAAACTGAGGCATCCCTGTGAGATGACCAGTTTGATCTAAACTTCATCCCTGCTGCTGCATCAGTGCCAGACTTTCTTCCCTGAGGCCTGGAGGGAATTCATTCAACCCTGGGCTTAAAATGTCCCACATGCTGCTCTGGAAGGGAGCCCACTTTCCTGTGCAGAGAGAGAAAGTAGGATGAAGCAGCAATATCTGGGTGTCAAGAGACCTTTAAAGGAACAGTGGGAACTGAATGGGCCTCAGACTCTTAACACTGGAGCAGCAGGAACAGGAATAGGAAGCATCAGGGTTGGGGCAGCATCAACTGACACATGCAGTAAACCCTCAGCCCTGGATCTACCCCTGTCAGGTCCATCTATGCTGGCCCTGAGCTGGCCTGCAGCTGACTGAGTGTGGCACAGAGGCACACCAATAATATTCTCTTTCTCGGTTTGCCTTTGCCCACTCCCACCTCATCATCCCTTTCTGTGTCCTGGTAGCAGCATTAAACAGGGAGCTGAATTAAAAATGGTTTCTGGGACCTCGAGCCCACTGTTCCTCCTCCTCAACAAAGCACTGGCACTACGCATCAGGGCAAGTCCCTGGCATGGGCATGGCCACAATGGATGCGTGCTGTAGGCGTGGTGAGGAGATGTGTGGGATTTACATTCTTGAAGGAAGGGGTAGGGATGGGAGCATGTTGGTAAAGGGGAATTGAGGCCTGTGAACGTGGGAGACCTGGGGCTCCTGTCCCATTCATTGCTAGGGGGTAATTGCACTCAAGTCAATGGAGTACTCTGGAGCTCAGCCAGCAGGAGAGGAGACTCAGGCACAGTGTATGAGCAGGAAAAGGGGAGCATATGTGTATGAGTATAAGCCTCACTGCCCTGCCCTGCTCCATGTCATTTACCCCAGGCAGAGTGAACAGGAGACATGAGAACCGGGGCAAGTGAGCGACTGCCTCTGCTCTGCTTGGGAATAAATCACACGCAGTGAGGCCAGGCAGTGGGGAAGCAGGCCTTGTGAATGCCTGTGTGAGCACCAGGTCTGTGGGTGTGGGAGGGGGGCCTCCACCCTAAAGCTCCTTGATGTCAATGGAAAGGCTCCCACTGCCATCAATGGCAGTTGGGGTCAGACCCTTTGCAGCAGGTTGCAGCCTGGGGCTGATGAGACATGAAAGGGAGTGGCGTGGCACAGCAGTGGGCATAGCTTCCTAGGCCTGACTACCCCAAAGGAGTGAGTGTATATATGGGTGTGTGAGCATGTCTCCTTATTAGCAGATGGCCCTTATTTTTGTCTCCCATCCCCACAATAGCAGCAGTGGAGGTTGCCTAGCACAATGCCCCCATTTCCCAAGGGGTAGCAGGTCCTCTCCTCCCAGCTGGGCAAGCTCCAGGCTCCCTCAGTGATTTTTGTGTCTTATTGAATGGACTCAAGTTCAGATTTCTTTTTAGGAGCCCTGCCCCTGCTAGCCTGCACTTCTGCCATAAACCCCCCATTTCCCCCCCACCCCCTTTCACAGTTTAAAGCTGGAGTAAACAAAAATTGAACAGAAAAATACTATCTGGTTTCCTTTCCAGTAAATCCACTTTTTATATTTACATTTATTTATAGTCATTGTTGTTTTATTAAAAAAATTCCACCTTTTTAGACCCCCCCCCACACTTTTTTTTTTGCAGTGTCACTGTTAACCCTAGGATTCTCAGTGACTAGTGAGTCCAGGTAGGTTACCATCTCCACCTTCTTGGGAGCCCTAGGCACCAGTGAATCAACATAAGCTCCTGGCTTCCCCAAGGACAGGAGAGTCACTTACAACCCCCAAGAACCCCACAAAAGCCACACAGATCTCCATGGATCCCAGAGACTTGGTCATACTTAACCCAGAGGTCCTCATGGTCTTTGTGAACCCCTAGAATGCCCAAAGATGCTCACATCTCATTGGTAATGGATCCCTGCCCAACTTCCCCGAGGCCTTCACACCCAGTCTATGCTGGGTTAAAAGTGAACGGAAAACAAACCGGAAAAATGAGAGAATAAAACCCGAAAAATTCCAAAGAGCTGCCGTCTCCTTCTCCCGCTGGGTTTGTCTCGTTTTGTTGGTGGTGGTGGTGGTTCTTGGTGTCTCCCCTCCCCCCTTTTTTTTGTTAAATCTCTTTTTATTAAATGTTAAAATAATGGTACATGGGAAATCATGCATTTTCTTTTAAATTGATTTTCTATTTTTTTTAAATCTCTTTCGGTTTTTAAAGTTTTTTCTTTTTTTTCTTTTTCTGTTTTTTTAAGTTTTTTTGTTGCTGTTGCGGTTTCTTTTCTTTCATTTCTTTTCGCTGTTGTCTTTTGTCTACTGTTTGTGTTTTTTGTTCTTTTTTTGTTCTTTTTTTTCTTTTTTTTTTTTTGCGTTTGGAAAGTTCCCCTCCCTTCCATGGTTGCCTTCTCCTCTCCCTCCCCTTCCCTCCCCCACAGCCCCCTCCCTTCTCCACCCTTCCCCATCCCTCCCACCTCCCGCCTCCCGCCTGCTCCTTCCCCATTTTCAGCTCCTGGTGACGGCTTCATACCGGGGTGGTCCGGCGGTTGGCTGTGTTAGTGTGGATAGAGTCCTTGTTCTCTTTCTGGATACAGTTGTGAACTTGGAGGAAGCTGTTATCCCTGTCAGAATTGTAAGTGGCGGTAGGGGTAGTGGCAGCCTTCAGGGGGTCCCTGGTCAGGGTGTACATCGAGATCTCTGTTGATGGGAGGGTATTGAACCCTTTGATCCCGACAGGTGAGGCATCCCTGGAGTGTGAAGGCTCAGTGGAACGGGAGCTGGAGCGACTGCGTCTCTGATAGCGGTAGCGGTAGCTGGGGATGCGGGTAATGGCAGAGGACTGGAGGTAGTCCGTGGCACGAGCGTTGGCACGCAGCTGTTTGTGCCGGTCAATAAACATGTGGACAGCCAGCACTCCCACCATCTCAGCTATAATGAAGGACAGAGCCCCAAAGTAGAAGGACCAACCATAGGAGTAACTGTTCTTCTTGGAGTCACTCTTCGAGGGGTCTCCAGCATTGGCTGATATGTACACAATGATGCCAATTATATTACTCAGACCTGCAGGCAAGGGGAAGAGGGAGAGAGAAACCATTAGAGTATCAGAGAGAGAAAGGACACCTGCAGGGGAAAGGACTAAAGCTTTGGATCTTAGAGGCCTTCTCTACCCACAAGAATAGGCCATTGCTGATGCACCTGTCTGTTCAGAGCCACTTTGCCCTGGTTGAAGCCCTCAGTGGGGATCCCGAATGAGAGTCCTTCAGTCCGTGAGTTCCTGGAACCTGAGGCTTCATCCCACTATGGGATCTTCAGTTCTGCTTGCCATAGAGAAACCTTCTCCTCCAGCAGGCATGGATGGGCTGCTCAGGCTTTACACTTATCCAATTCTGAGATCCTATTTTCCCAGCAGTTTGTCCCAGAAAAGCTCTTAATTCTGCCCTGAAGATTCACTCTCCCCACCCCCTGCTTCCTCTAGACAGGTTGGTAGCAATGAGGTTGCCACTTGGGTGGGGGCTCCATGTCTTGTTGATGTCTATCCAGTGTCAGAGTCCCTCTTTTCTGAAGGCATATAACTGAAATGAAATGGAGCCATTCTGTTTTCTGCATGCTGCACTGGTAGATGTAGAGGACTTTCCCTGTAAGCAGGAGCTGCCATTTTGTGCTACTGTTCAAATGCAGAATGTCAGAGTAAGTCACAACGTACTCACTCTCATGCTGACTTTTCATTGGTTCTTTCTTGTTGGACATTGTTCTCCCAGCTGAAATAAAGCTCATCTAGACCCCAAACTACACAGTGCCCTTTGTGCCCATGCAAACACATCACCCCCTTGCCCTTCTGCCCCTGCCATTCCATTAACTGGGCGACTTGTCATTTCTCTCTTCCCTTGGCTGCATCTCCTTCATTATGCAGATCTCCTCTCTCATTATTCAATTATGATCTCCTCTCTTTTGCTGCCCTTTTCTCCCAGCCCTTTTGCCCCTTGCTTCTTTACCTGCAGACACAAAGAAGATGCCGGCACTAAGGATGATGTTGTGTCGGGTTTTGTAGAATTCGCTGGCTGCGATGCAGAGTCCACCCATGAAAAGCAGAATCACACTCAGGATTGGAAAAATACTAGAGGCCCTTACGGCCCCTGTGGAAAAGAAAAAGAAAGAGAGGGGAAGAGATAATAGCATGTATGTGAGAGAGAGGAAAACGGGAAGAGAAAACAATATGAAGAGACAGAGAGAAACCAGTAGGGGAGGGAACAGAAGCAGCAGGAAAACAATAGGATGTAGCATGCGTGGGGGAGAAGGAGATGGAGAGAAATAAAGAGGTGGCAGAGTGATTCAGAGAGGAATCAAGAGGCAGCAAGGGATGGAGAGACAGAAACAAAAAGTGTCAGCCAAAGGAGAGAGCGGTCACCAACACCGTGCCTACATGTTGGATTGCCAAATGCTCGGGCATTATGGCTGGGGGAGAGAGGGGTGGGGTGGGGTGGGGTGGTACAGGTCCATACCACATCCAGGACAGGGGACTTCAGCAGAATAGGTTATTTCCTTTTACAAGGCAATGCAGCTGGATGCATTGGTTACAAATGCTTCTCCCAAAAATTTAGTTGATTCCTATTCATTTGGAAAGTGAGCTAGCCTCCAAAAGGAGAGAATTTTAAGGGGGTTGGAAAAGAGATCCCAATGCAGAGCAACAATGTGTAGCTAGAGACAGAGGATGCAGTCACCAGGGGTACTCCAAAGTAAAACTCCCAACTTTACCCTCCAGAAACAAGGGACTCTTCCTAGGGAGCTAATGGAAGGGCAGAGTCCATTCAGTAGAGAATGGCAGTGCACACATGTGCAAAGTTACACACATGCAACCCTGGAAGAGCTCACATGTACTTCAACCATCAGGAAGCAGCAGTGCACATGCACACACATACACACAGAGTGTCAGCACATGCTTCTACCCAGCAAAAGCCTATGGTGTTCCTTGTCACACGCTCCCCTCTGTGTCCCAGGAGGCAGAGTTTGCTTTTTTATTTATTTTTATTTTTTATGAACCGTCTCTTCTCAGGTGATAAATGATCTGCTAATGTCTGGAGTGTGCCCAGGTGTCAGGCATGCCTAGTGCAAATCTGCTTCCAGAACAAAGATGGGAAAAGGACAGAAGCAAATCCTTCCTCCTATCCCTTCTCATTTCAGAGAACCAAGCTGAACAAAGGGAGTTTCTCTTGACAGGAGGGGCAAGTGGCTCATGGGCCCTGCTGGAAACCATCTGCCATGAAAGGCATGAGTACTCAATTCACTCAGGGGCTGACTCTCACCCAAGCCTGGCGTGTGATAAACATGAGGGGCAGGGAGGAACCTCTTGCCTGTTTTCCCTTTCCACCTGGCTCTATTTCAGGCAGTGGGATGGTAATAAGAGCTATCCTAATGGCTTCTGGAAAGCAGGGGAGGATTTAACAGTGGGGAGCCAAATGACAGTAAGCAATGCCAAGTGGATGCCCTTTGTATAGACAAGCCTTGAGGGGAGTCTCAGTGTTACATACTGTCCCTAGCATTTGTTGACTGGGCCTTTATCCTTCAATCCACACCTCCTGGGAAGACACAAGGTCACAATGTGAAATTGGGAGCTGAGGACATTATCTGAGAGGTAAAGGTCTCTAATCTCCATTCTTGTTTTAGTGATCTCAGAAGCTCCACAGTCATACTACAAAGGGCTGATATTAAAACCAGTCCGTCTTTCCAGGTTCAGTACAGATCCTGTAGTTTGTAAGGGAGAAGAGTTGCCCTTGTATTGGGGTATGTATCCCTGTTCAATTGCTTGTTACCCACCTACAGAATCTCCTGGCAGAGTCACACTGATACAGTCTTCCTTCCTTAACCCTGCCCATTTGATCGCAAGGAACCTGAGCTATCTTACCTGAATGGTCATTGCAGAAACAAACGTTGAGCCCTTCCAATCAGGCCTCAAGCTCCACTCTCCTATTTTCCTGGCTATCCTGACCTAACCTTAAGGTAATAAACAACCTACCAGCCAGTCACTACTAGACATGACCCAGGAGGAGCCTCAATAAGCTCCAGTTCAGCCAAAAGTCCTTAAAAGAACCTGTTCAACTAAGGCCTTCTCTAGTCAGCTCTAGTACTGCATTAGGCTACTTCTACCAGGCATGACCCAGCAAGTACTTTACTAGGTTTGGTGAAACCCCCACCATCCTGCCTGCATGAACTTAGGGATTTTCCCTTGGGGTTTCCATCTTGGGGATTTGTTTTATAGGAAACACTGTCAAAGCCAGCAGGCCTAATATTTGACCTGTTTTTGCCTTCTCCTATGATCTGTAGTTCTGCATGTGCTTCCCCCTACAAAACACCTGTTTCAAAGCTCTTTTTCTCCCCTAACCACAAATGACTGCTAGCTGCTGCTGCACCCCAAACAACTCTGCGACAACAAAGCAATGCTAGGAAGCAGCACCCAGCTGCATGCTGAGGAATGCTGGTACCCACACCAGGGTTTATAGCTCTGCTACTTAAGAGCAGTACAGTGCACATGTGAGTGATGCAGCAGAAACACAGTCTAAAGAAACAACTTCAGGTCAGCTAGTAGCAGGTGGGAAACTGTTTCAAAAGGATGAGAAAATCCTGTGATTTTCTTACTCTTTCATCTGTATCAATGAATGTTAAGGAAGCCCAAATCTCCTCTTCAACTGCATGGTTCTCTTGTATCTCCATTATGCCCCAACACAAATCACCACTGGTAACCTTCAGAGATCCCAGCCCTGAAGGTTTTCTGAGCCTCTTCTTTTGAACACCTCTAGGGTGAAGATCTCCTCTTTTCATGCCAACAGGAATTGTGCTCAGGGAAGGAGAACAGGAAGGAGGAGCTGAATCAGCAGGGTGGACTGAAGAGAAGAGATTCCTACTAATCCAAGGTGAAAGAATAGAGCCTCTCTTTTTACAGTGGACAAAAGTGGGGGTTTTTTTACATAATGAAGGCTACACAGACACAGCCTCCTCAGGTGGTTCCCCCTGTTCATAGGTCCCAGGCTAAACTCTGATCTCCACTGTCTCTGCTTTCTACTTGTGTTCTCTTACAGTGACACAACATGCTCAAATCATAGCGTTTTTATCAGTGGCCCTGGGACATACATTTTGTTTTTTGTGCTCCAAAGAGAAGTCTCAGATCAAGCAGCCTTTACTTTTACTATCCAGTTCCCAGTGTCACTGTTCTATGGTTCTGGTACAAAGCCACCTTCAGTGAATGCTAACTTCATGAAAGGACCCCGATCAACAGCTTGGGAGGCAGGAAGATAGGAAAGCTTGGAGGAGCAGAAGTCCTGACCTGTACAACCTATTTATTTCTGAAATTGGATGGAAACAGAGAATAGGAGGGCAAAATTTTTATTCCTACAACTGGTACAGCAGCAGCAGTGTAATGTCTCCACTGTATATGAGTAAACACACACACACACACACACACACACAGAGTTATATGCACTAATAGTGTGCCTAACCCTTCAGAGGGAATTCAGTAACTATGGCTCAGTCATGCTCCAATGTGATGCTCAGTAGTGTCACCCATGGTGATGGTTTCGGTGATGATCCAGAAATGGACTAAGACCATTGACCCATCTGATGTGAAGCAACAGTTATCAAAGGGTAATTACTTCTGGTCACAAATGATTGGCATCATGCATTAGAGACAGTGACTTAGAAGGGAAAGTCTTGGGTCCTGATACTCGAGCCCTCTGCTCCTCTTGCCTGGGGTCCAGATGAAGCCAATGGCCAACAGGATGAAGTGAAAGGCTTTATCCTTAACCCTCAGTGATGATCATCAGTCCTCCTCACCTGAGGGCAGATTACAACTGATGATGCAGTCAATGTTTCTGCATTTTCTACTTTTCCTTCCCCCTTTACTGGAAACCCGTTATTTATCTAGTTTTCAGAGTGAATGGGAGAATCCTCTGAGACCTTAGAGATGTTTTCATCTTGTCAATAACTCTCCAGTATCTTTAGGGGTGGGATGAGGTTGAAGGGCTGCAGGTTTTATCAGACTATATTACCATTAGTTAAAAATCTCTTAGTCATCAGAGCAAGTCTGAGTCGAGCATGCTGGTAGAGAGGGTCTCTGGAGGGTAGGAGTGAGAGTGAAGGAAGAGGAGCCCTTCTGAGAGAGAGATTCAGAAGGGATGCCCCCACCCAGTTCCTCCAAATTTTGCCTCATCCATTATGATAATCCTCAAGGGAACCAGACTTTGCACTGAGTCACCTGCAGCAAGGAATGGGCACCCAGCCCTACCACCCGTGATCGACTCCAAGGAAAAGGACCTGCAGACTTACGGAGGAAATATTCTGCTGCGTCGGCTTCATAATCTATATCCTCAGGGAAGTGATCGATTTGCTTACACAGACCTTTAAAATTCCCTGTGAAACAAGAGAAGAAAGAACAAATGAGAACACCAGAAACCGACTGAGGCAACAACTGCCCTCTGTGTCATCCTCTGTGCCTTCCTTACCTCCTTCCCAGGCAACACATACACATAATATGTTCCCAGGCATTGTCACCAAATACACACCCATCCCTGTATCTGCACAGGATCTGTGGAACTGCCATTCTGGAGCAGACCCAGGTCCATCTGGTCTAGTAACCTGCATCTAGCAGTGGCCAACAGCAGATGCTTCAGGGAGAGATGTAAGGACCCCCCAGCAGGGAGATAGGTGGTAACAGCCCCAGCGCCTAATTACAAACCAAGATGAGACATAAGCACTGGAGCAAGGGTCAAGATCCAAAGCCTACATTTTAATTAATATCCCTTATAGAATTCCTCTTGTGAGAATTTGGTATGGCTTTGGTCTCTGGGGAAATGTCCAGCCCTTTTTTCTGAGAGTTAGTACGTTTTGGCTTCAGTGACTTTGGGTAGCAGAGTTCCACAGAGGAATAATGCATTATGTGAACATGTTTTTATTCATTTTGATTTTGTCCCCATTTAATTACCCCATTTAATTTGATCAGTCCCATTGCTCATGTGTTACACAAGATCCTTTGCCTATAGTATGCCTGCACACTTTTATCATGTGTTCTTTATCTGTCTCCTTCCCTCAGGCCATGTCTATACTAAGAGTGCTTTGTCTGTAGCGGAATATCTTTATACCAAAGCACTCCAAGTGCAGACACAGTTTCATCAGCAAAGCTGTCCTTTGCACTGCTGTAGTAAAACAACTGTCAAAAGTCAAACCTGTTCTACTGTAGAAGTTCAGTTTTGCTGTATTTCTAGCTCTACAGCAGAGACCTCTGTTAGCACAGTGGTAACAAGCAGAACTCAAGCCTCTGTATCCCCCTTTGCCACATGGCTATGCCAACAAGAACCTGCAGCATTGATTGGGATGAAGGTTACAGTCTTTTCAATCTCTCCTCGTATAAGAGTTTTTCTAGGGCCTTACTTATTTTTGTCACTCTTCTGTGAATTCCCTCTAATTTATTAACAACACCCCAAATGTGCAGCTGCTGAGGTGCACAACACCAGGATTTCAGTTTCAAAATCATAGTATTCTTGACCGTGAGCTAAAGGAGAATCTATTTTTGATTGCCAACAGTAGTTGGGATTTTATCCTTGGAGGGCCAGCCACGAGGTAGGAGTGAGCATAGGCCCATGCATTAACACTCATACAGGCTCATCAACATGTTTCCACACTGCCAGCCCCACTTTCTAAATTTTCTTGGGAAGACATTAGGACTGTAGGTCTCTGATTCCTACTGACAAATGTGAGAGCAGAGTAAAAGCAGTGGATGTACAGCACTGGGGTCAGCTCGCCCTAAACTCAGGGTATTAGACATTTGCATCACTTGCAGAATGAAGCCAGGTGGAAAATGAGCTCATTATGTCTTTTGGGTTCCCTCCAAGCAGTGCCCCCCATTTTTCCTTGTATTTCCCTCTGGACCCTTGCACTGGTGTCACTGATACAGAAATAACTGCCCTTGACAAGCTGGAAAAGGGAACTTGCTATGTCTTCATAAGGCAGTTGGGCTGAAGTGTACCTGCCCAGAGGCTCCCCAGGAAGAGTTCAGCCAGCTAAGAGGCATGTGTGCAGGAGGTCCAGGCACAGATGCCACCACTTCATGGAGAACATGTTCTTGGGTTACATTCCTGGCAGAGGCACTGCCAAGCTGCTTGGATTGATGGCAGAGGAACTTGCACACTGATTTGCTTGCTCACGGGAGGGTGAGAAATCCTATGAGATCTTAAGGGACTAAACTGTCTTGCAAAGAGCAAGCCTAATAATACCCAGCACAGCTGTTTGATCAGTCAAGGATAAAGCATGAGGAGACTTCACATTCACCTACTGTATGCAGGGAGTTCGGGCTCTAAGCAGCCCACGGCTATTTCCACTCCTAGACTTTTCCAACAGGAGGCCATGCCGGGGACAATGAAGGTAACTTCAATCTGGTTTACAACTATCCCAAAAAGGCTTTGCGTGGCTCAATGGCAGCAAGTAGACTGCCAGGGCACAAAGTGCAAGATACCAGCAGGGACTGTGGCAGCCAACAGAAGGCGTGGGGGTGTCTGGGTGCATCTTCTATTTGCTGCCAATTGGTAGCAAAAGGATATGCCACCAAGAGAGCATTCTGCTGGCAGAAAGCATGATCCTGCTGCCACAGGGGAGCTTTGCGTGGACTCGCTCAGAGTTTTGCCGACAGATTGTTCCGCCAGCACAGCTTTGTAGTAGACTAGGCAGTTGAAGCAGTGTCCCATAAAGATTCTCTCAACATCCTTAAACAGAAATTGAAGCACCTGAAAGAGGCTAGGCATATAGGATTCAACCCAGGTTTCTTCTGAGCTCAGCCTGGGCTGGTCCAGGACACTGGGAATTTGATTATGCATAGATATCCCTGCAATGCCAACAGTTATGCTCCCCAGTATCAGATTTCCATGCTTGGATACTATTTACCTGATTAGTTTTTCTTTGGCATTTCTAAGGCACTGATCACTTTGGTATCTAACTACCAATGCAAGGAGCAACTATGAAGGAGGAGTCTGTGTGTGCCTAAGATTCAAGAACAGTAGCAGATGGGAACTAAACATCTCTGGGTGCCTCTGAAGTTGCATGGCCCCATTAATTGATTCCTTTTCAGCCCAACTCTTCCTATGGGTTGTGAGGGGGTACCCTTCACTGCTTCAGCCATGTCTAGGAAGTCCTTGCTCCTCAGCCACAGTTCTAATGCTTCACCTAAGAGAGTTTACTCTCTCACCCCACAGGCCGTTTTTCCCTGCACTTTTATGGATGCAGGGACACAGCACCTAAACAAGCTCTGGGAACTCATGCCTACATCTTGAAGAGGGATATATTGCCATTTTGGGGAGATCTTTCTCTTCATGGTCCCTGGCTGTCTTCAGTGGTTAGTCTGTGAAAGAGGAACAGCCTATAACTTGACCTTTGGCTAGGGCTGGCCACTGGACAATTCACTCTCTCCTTTTTAATTTTTTAATTTTTATTTTTTTTTAAGAAAAGCATCCTTCACTCACCACAGAGTCACAGGGGGGTGAGCACTGTGCAGACCCACACTATAATTATATTTTTAGTCTTTACCTTGGTCTTAAATCACCCACTCTCCGCCTCTCACTTGGTCTGGCATGCCAACACTGCCAGGTTCAGGGGCACCTCCACTTGCAGACCCTTTCATGAAGCGGTACCAGCCAGGGGAGTCTCCAGTCACAGATTTCAGCTTCCTGATCTGCCAGTACTAACCAAGCTGTTCAACCTGACAGACCCTTTTCCACTGCATGCTTTGGGGGAAGCAGGCAGAATCATGCTTTAAGTCAAGGATATCAAACATACAGCCCATAGGTAGGACACAGCTCACGGTGTTAGGTCTCCTGGCCTGTAGAGCTTCTTGGAGGCTGGACAATCCAGTCCCAGAGCCAGCCCATAACACTTATTGCTGTGGCTACCAGAGCCACTGTGTTGGTGTGGGCTAGCAACTGGGGGTGAGGGTGGAGGGGTGGTGATTGCTGCTGTTTGTCCTCCCTCTTACCTGCCACTGAATTTCCAGTTTTCAGTTGCCATTGGTGATTAAATTGGAAGCAGGTGGCAACAGGAAAAGAGGGAGTGAGTGGCCTCAGTCCTGCAGCCTGGATCTGGAGGTGGTTTGTCTGGCCTGAATGACCCAGCTCCTGGCTGGGGCAGGGAATATGGCCTGCCAGCTACTTGAGTATGACACACCTGCTCCAAGTGAAGAAGGCATCGGAGCTCTTTGGGAGATGAAAGAAGTCTGGAATGAGCCAGAGAGGAGACACCGTGTGTTTGCGAGTGTACTGCAGAGGCTCAGAGAGAGAGCCCTTCACTTTTTGGCATGCTGAGGGTTTGTCTACAGCAGCTGTCACTGCCAAGCCACCAGAGCACATTCAGATCCCTGCGCTTCTCTAGCAGCTCCACCATGCCTGGCCAGCACAGCTGGTGCAGTGGAGCTCAGTGCACCATGGGAAGGCACCAGGTGCTTACAAGACCATGGCAGCTGGCAGAAGTCTTCTTTCCGGCAGAGAGGTGATGTTACGCTGCCGGCAGAAAGAAGGGTTTCTGCTGCTGCAAGGGAGCCCTCTTTGAAGAACCACTGCTTTTATGCTGTGCCTTCATCTTTGCCTTAAGACTAAGTCACAAAGAGCAGCAAGGAGAAGGACTCACCTGCCTTTTGCATTAACAAGTTTTCAGGGACTCCAGCAGGCTGGAACAGGATAGTGTTTAAACACCTAAGTGGCACTTCAATGGTTATTTGGTGGAGTAGGCTCTTGCCAACCCTACAAAGTCACTCACTCCTTCTCTGGGTACCTCAGATTCCCTGTCAGTGAGAGGGAGATAACACTGGCCTACTTCACCGATGTGTCACAAGAATGAATAT